TTCCCAGACATGCTAATTTGAGAACTTTTGAGGTTTTAGGTAAAATTAATTATGTTTAACAACGCCCCCCTCTACGCTATGTGCTAATATAGCTTAATTTTGAGACAGCGAGATTTTCAGTTAGAAGTTCTTATATTAAAAATATATGCTCTAACCACATACTAGTTAAATTGACCTAATAATTTTGTTAGAGAAATTATAGCTCATCTGGTAGAGAAATATCTTCTCTAACAACATATAGTATGATTCAACGAACATGATGTATGGAGTAAGAATATTTTAACCTGAGACTTAGTGAAAATCTGCTTAAATCAACTAAATTATTTCTCTGCACAATTTATTATAGATTTTTACTGTCATTATAAAAACGACTAACAGTAAGGCGTGTGCATTTCTCATTGGTAGTTCTCATGGACTTTTTTCAAGCCAAAATTATTGTGATATACACCGTAGTAGACAAAGTTGCTAAAATTGGTGTCTTTCCTAAAAATCCGTTATCAAATAGGCGTGCCCGTCAAATCTATATCTTGTCAGTTTTTTAATTACTAACTTAAAATATATTGGCACGTGTGCAATATATTTCTTATTAAAACTACCGACGTAGATATTCAGCTCCCGAAAGATCACTGATTGAGTGATCTTCCTTCACTACGTTTTTCATTACATCGTTAATATCATGTGCATAATACTCTTAAAATATGGTCTTAGTCCAAAAATATCTCTCAATTTGTATTACTTTATTTTTCATACCACCAAGACGCATTTTTTCTTTGATGAATCCATCAAAGATTCTAGTCGAATCCAGTAGTATTTTTGTTATAGATATATAAGCCGTAATTTTTTCTTTCATAGTTGTAAAGTCTGTCTTAACAGTCATGCCTCTTAACAGATAAATAATAAATAAAAAAGTAACGTATTTGTTATGAACAATGAGATAATTAACTGAAAATTTCGTATGTGCTTCCAAAAGTCGTTCACAATAGACGAATTTTTAGTCTTGGCAAAAATGCAATTTGAGCTGCTTATTAGTTAAGCGATTTTAAAAAGGTTGGACTAAATAAGCCAGTAGTGTTGTTGTTTCATATATTATTTTTAAAATAAGCAGTTGTTCTTTTGTGATATGCTTACAAAAGAAAATATTGTAAACAAAATAAAATATAATAAATGGAAATACTAAAAACTATTTAATTTGAATAAAGAAAACGAAATGAATATTAGAAGGGCAATGGTAATCATTTTTATTTTTTAAATTTAAATTAATTTATTTATTTATGTATTTAAATTTCTAAGTAAATAAAACGATAAGACTTTAATAAATAAGACTTTAATGCAAAGAATATCTTTGGTTCAAACAAGGTATTCTTTGCTTTAATGGATGACTGGAATTTTGCAGCATATTTTTAGTGAACATTCACAATAGACTGATTTTTGAATTTGACCGCTCTGAAACTTAAGACGTAAAACTTTTTGTGAGTAAAACTCAATTCTGAAGATTTTAAGAACATTGTTGTTGCTTCAAATGTTTTTTTTGTAAATTGCGAATATTTTTTTGCTACTCTGAATAAAAAAATTACGGCTATTATAATTTGACAAAGTCGGAATTTTCGACAGCCCACCACTATCTTTCAATTATATACCGCTAATATTAAAGAATGATTTGGGACATACTTTAACGCATCTATTAATGAAATAAATATTTATTTCCTACCAAAGATTCTCATTACTTTGTATCCAATTTTATTTTCTTGTATTCCAAGTTCCCCTGATCCAAATTAATGATATTACTCACTGTATACTTCTTGAATTTGATTGGGTTTTATACTGATTTACTGGTTTTGTTTTTGAACTATCGTTAAACAGAGCGGGAACGATGGTTCTACTGTCACAGAAAATTTTAATCTCTAAATTGGTTTTTTTCTGAAATCAATCACCCTATCTATATGAAAGTAAAGCTTACAGTTTGTAAAGCACTGGACGAGTTCGTTAGGTTAAAGAGTTTTTAATACGTTTTGAGCTAAAAAGGTATCGTAATAAGACTGTAAAGACTTTATCTACTTCCAGTTGTTACTTCAGATGATAAAATATTAATTTGAAATAATTTTAACTATTAACATATGCTTTATGAATATAGAAAGGAATATTCCAAATTCCTTTTTTCCGTTTTTATAACTAAAGACTAATAGATTTAATTACCAAGTAAATAAGTATTTACTTATAAATATTTAAATATAAATATATCTAATCTATTCGCTATTTAATTATAAAAGTCTACTTTCATTTCTTGTCAATGTAAGAAAAATGTTCAGTAATGTGGAGTTGCCACATGCAATTAATATCTGTTAAAATAATCAACGGCAAGGAATTGATTTCAATAATTAAATAAAAATAAAATAATAAAATTGAATTAAAAAAAATTTTAATACAAAATGAGTTTCCTTATAGTTCGAATGTTTTTATTGAAATTTTTCAATATTCAAATATTTGCACAATTTGGGCGCAGTGTGAAGTTTACTAATTCGTAGTCGTGCAGTGATTAAAATTGTTTAAGTGATAGAAATACAAATTTCGAATGATTTATGGGTGAAGCGGCCTGCCGTGCGCAATCCAACCAATTTTATTTGATCAAAATTAAAAATATAACAATTTAATGATTTTAACACTTGAGTCTACAGGTGGCATCAATGGGACTCAGTATATTTCTTTAACGGCCACAGCGTGAAAACTTTAATAGAAAAATATCCCAAGCCAACTTTTAATGAATTTTATACAATATCAAATACAATTTTGTTGTTAATGGAAAGTGTAATTTTTGAACATTTTTAAGGAAATAAATAATATACCAATTCTTAGCTGGATTTGGAATAAGCCATACATTAAGCAAACACAAATAATCACAAATAATGCGATGTAAGATGAATATATTTTATGGATTTTTCATGTATAAAAGAGTGAAGCAATGTCTAGACTCCATAAATTTATAGTGGACGTGTTGTGAATTGCGAATTATCAATTAGCTTTTATTTAATCAATTACTACAGGAATGTCCATAAATATAAAGATTTTATACAATAAGTCTTGTATTTGAATTTCTTAAAAATAATACTTAAAGGATATTTTTTTGCTCAAATAAGATCCAGTAACAAATTAGTATTATCGAAATTTTTTAAAATACTATATATCTTGGTTTTTAATTGCGCTTTTGAACATATTAAAAAATTTTGAAAATGTTATGTTTAAAATATTGATTAATTGATTAATTTTTAATAACAATAGTATGAATTAACTCCTTATTTTTAAATAATAAAAGTATCTTCCTTGTATCATGAAATCTGTTAACAAGGAAATTTATTCTTATAATAATGCTAGTGCTATTAAATTGCTAGAATTTTTTGAGTAGAGTTGTGAAAATTACTTATTACTTAAAGAAATTACTGACTTGTGTACTGGAATCCTTCATTTTCCGCATATGGTACTGCTGACCATTTCTAACATTCCTGTCCTGTTAAAAATATCACGAGCATACAACAAAATAGTTCATCTTTTATTCTCTACAAAATTTTGTGCCCATCTTAACTAGAACATCAGACCACCCAATAGCATAAAGGTTTCAGAACTCTACCTATTTCGCTATGTTACTCATTTCTATATATAGAAAGTAGCTAATCCATCGCCAGATATAATTGAATCGCTATAGATACTTAGGTCTAATATTTTCTTAAACCACCATTTATTTATTTAACCGTATTTATTAATGATGTCTTATATGAACTCTTAAATATATATATTTCTAAATTACAGATCTATAATATATTATTGATTCAACTTTAGATTTATTTAGATTTCCATTTCAAAAGTGGCGTACTATATGCAGATTTAACTCTAATTATAAATGATTAAATGTACTAACATTTTAATTGGTAGAAATATATTAATGACATAGTTAAAAATATTTTTTAAGAGGTTTACTTCTGGATATGTTTTTAATTGCGGCAAAAACGTATAAGAGGTTATATGTCATATCCCTAAGGTAGGATAGGAAATCTTCAGTGTTAATCATCGGATTGTTTGAAAGATATACATAAAAATTGCACAAAAAATTGTGAGCCTAACATAATAAAATACATTTTTCGATTTGAATCATCAATATATTCCTCTTCAATTCATAATACAAACATTCCAATGATTTTACAACTTTTTATATACATAGAACGATATTCGATACTTTTATGTGTCAATCACTTCCTAATCACTTATCCTGCGTGTATTTTTGAGGTTTGCAAATAGATAGTAATAGACAGAAAGTCAATATATATGAAGAAGAAGTATTTGATATATAATTCATGTAATTTGGACATCGTTATAATCGTTATACTCCTATATTATTATTATGTTGAGGAAAGTTGAGTTAGTGCACCTGAGCACTTTTACTCTATATTAACTGACAGGAACCCATTAACAGGATTGGTGAAAAATACACAAAATAAACAAAAATTAAAGTGCTAGTTATATACTAGCACTAAATATCCAAAAAATATTCTAACATATCTAGTCAACTATTAATTTTTGACTGCGTTAGGTTTTGCCGGGTGTTGTCTGCTTGTCAACTGACTATGGACTAGTATACTGAGTCGCGTAAGAAAGCAAACAAAGAATTCTTATTGTAGTACTTCAATATGTCTAAACAGCCTTCATAACCATAAATTTATTCAAGTAAATAAAATAATGCGCAAACGTTCCTGTCATATCCATACAATATCAATAATTTGTTGACAATTCATAAATTTATGATCCTGAAGAACGGTATTTAATTTTAACATAACAATAAATTTGACCAATTTTCTTGGAGTAGAGTTTTTAGAACTTTCCTTATGAATATGTTCATTTGTATTAGCAGCACTTTTTCCATAAAGCATTATCAATTACCTAAATAAATAATCTAAGTTCTTTACTGTCTGAAGAAGTGCGAACAATATCACACGATGTGGATCTTTATAAGTACAGCTTTTATTAAGGTTTTTCTATGTTGTAATTTTAGCAGAACAATATGAATATCAGATGAATATTTTTCTTCAAATTGACATTTATAAAAAGTTACTAATTCGTTTATTATATAGTACATGAAACCATAAAAGAGGATCTTTTCAATATTTCAAATCAGAAATCACCAGAGTACCCAAAAATTTTTATAAAACCGCATAGCCAAAGTTTTGTTATTGTGAAGAGGTCCTCGTCTAGAATTTTGTGTTTTATGTTGGGATATAATCATCTGCATTTGTATAAACTTTGTAACAGATCTTTTGTTTTCTTCTCGATTTCTGTGTCACCATCACAATAACGTATACACAAAGATCTAGACCTTTCAAGAGACACTACGTTTTCTTCTACAATATTTGCATATATTTTTACAAAACCATCTGATATTGAATCTTGGAGAACGTATTTTCATAAGAGAGCTCCAATATAATTGGTTCAAAACTATCCTGTGATGACAATGAGGGCAACATATAATTTTACTTTCGGTTTGGTTTTCTGTACTTGACCAAAAATCAAGAGATACAGTCTTTATAAATTTTTTATCATGTATTTTAATTTTTTTAGTCTGTAATGCCCATCTTAAAGCTTTATTTATTTGATTTATTACATGATCCTTGGGTATCTAAAAAAATATTTATTTAAAATTAATTTCCAATTACATAAAGATATATGCTATAAATGTTAATAGTATTTATTTTTTAAATAAGTTTTAATATATTAATATTAAATATATAAGAATACAGAATAGAAATAGTATATCTTCACAAAAAGTTGCAAAAAGGGCACTTCCTGATTTCGTATGTAACGAAAAACTTATACAATATATATTCTACCAATTATGAAATAGGCGAAACCTTTTCGTTTAATTAGGCACATGCTTTCGTTAAAAAAGATATACCAAAGTCGTAGTACCGCTCTTAATTATTAACCTTATTATCTATCATTTCACTTTTCTAATCATCTAACTTCAATACACCTAATTTGACATGATTTAGGCATATTCCAAATTTTTTTTTGTCAAACTATAAAATGTTTATATATCTATTTTTATGTCGAGCATATCTACTTACACCGAAGATCGCACTTATACATTCGATGATCTCTTGCTTCGTTATGGCTCTATGTTGAGGCACAACAATCAGCACTAAGATCCTCATATCGTTTCTGACGCAATAGTTTTGTCTATTCATAGTGTACTCTATAGTTGAATAGTTTTTTGGTTTATAATTTATTTATAAATTAATTAATATAATTATATCTTGAATTTCTTATGAAAGATATGAAAAATAAAAACAAATATTATAATAATGAAAATATAAATAAATTATATTTTATATAAATTAATATATATTTTACATAAAAAATTTTTTGATAAATTTTAACTGGGAAACTTTGATTTTGAAATTATATTATATAAAATATAATTATATAATGCAAACATATTTTGCTTATTATTTTAACTATTGAGAGCAACTTCAATGGAGCTCATTCTAGATCCTTGTACTTGACATACAAGCCAAGTACGGTTTTTGCTTATTTGGCTAATGAACACTGACAGTGAGCTTTAAATTTGGCAAGGTTCGAATTTGACCCTTGGAACAGTTTTTTATTCTCAACAAATTATTTACAAATAATTAAATATAACAAATAATTCCAACAAACCACTGATTTGGCAATGCTCATAACTGCTGTATGGTCAGCCAAAAATTCACTATTATTCGGAGAGATGGAATACCTGCTAAAGAAAGTTGATAACTCTAATTTAACCGTCACTGTATGATTTTGCAATTTGCTTTATGATACACCTGAGTAGATGTAATACACTGGCGATATACTGAGGGCGTGGGCCCATACCCATTAAGCTGGATATAGACTTATATGAATGATGGAGTTTCGGTAAGACAACTGGCGGCTAAAGCTCTGGACATCAAATTATTAAAATGAATATAAATTATTGTTAGTATATTATTAATTAAAATAAGAGTTTTACTGAAAGTATTATTTTACCAAAATACCATGTCAATGGTCACCAACGTGGACTACACTTCTAGTTTCTTTTTTATCTATTATATTCGCAGATACTTGTGACTACTGACTGCTTGCAGATCAAAAAATGATGCTCCAACAATAGTCATATTGCCGAGACAACTGCTTACATAACAGATAAAGATCAATCGTCATACAAATAAACGTTAAAATAAAAAGGAAACACTGGAAATAATATATTTTATTGTTGAAGAAGCCAATATTAATCAAAAAATGCTATTCTTGCGAAAAACATATATTAATGAAAGATAATCGTAAAACTTCCTGTGATGTCGGAATTCCAATTATAAAAAAAATATGAGATTTTATGAGAGACTCTATATATATATTTATATATATATAGGAGAATTTATATTTTTATCAATGCATTATAATTAATATTTTAAATATTTTTTGTGAACTATGTAAAATTTTTTAAAGTATATGGAACGGTACTTCTTCTCAAACACTGGTAATTATTTAAAATCTGTCTAAAAGTTGAAATTGTTCTTCACTGTGAATTTATATTTACCAACTATTTAAGTCTTTTGCGAATAAATTTTCAATTAACTAGTTTAGTTTCCCACACAAGATCTGACCCACTTAATCCATGGCTTAAACTAAACTAAACTCAGTTCAAGTTTATTTAATTCAGTATTTTCTTCCTCTTTCACACTCCAGTCTTTAAGTCAATAAACCAATTAAAATAATCAACGGAGCATAGGCAGGCGAGCATTCAACTAATTCCACTCGTGGAAATTTGCAAATGAAAATGTAACAAAAGATTTTCACCAGATAAAACGCTAAAGACAAAAGACTCCCCCACTGCGAAGCGATGCGCGCTTCCATGTTCCTCATCAACTTAATTGCCTGCAAGCAATCTTAACGAACGATTTAAGATACAAAATTTAGCAAACAGAAAACTGAAAAAATATAAAAGAAATAGAAAAGATACATTTTATATTGCATGAGACTACATTTCGGTGATTTGCATTATTCAAAGCAGTTTGCAAGGCTTTAATTGTGAGAATTGCATCTCATGTATTGGTACTTTTTTTCGCCATTATTTTCTTTTTTTCTTTTTTTGCCATTTGTGGGAGTTCATGTCGACGTGTTCGTAATGAAATATATTTCAATTTAAATCACTGAAAACGAAAATATCAGTTAATCAAATTTTGGTAGCTCTGCTGTCATTTTAATGACCACAAACATTTTTTGGGCCGAACTGCCTTCTACGCAAAATGACTTCAAATTTCGATATGAGAAATTTAGTAATGCGCGCCTGCTTCAATCGATTGACACCGCTGGTTCATGAGATCCTACAAGTCTTGGAATATAAACTGCGATCGCATGAAAATGAAATGAAAATTGAAAAATCGCATTTTCAATGTTTTTTCTTTCTTTTTTTATTTTGTTTTTTTTTTGGAAGATTTCATTCAACTGCAGCGAATTGGGAATGCAACCAGGCGGTAGCGAAGGCATCTAACGAATCGTGAGCGCACATCTCGTGCATTTGCTTAACGCTGACGTGAATGTGTCGTTTAGTTCATTTATTTACCATTTCATCCATTTTTGGTTGCTCCAAGTAGACTGAATAATTTTTATTATTTAAAAAAAAATAAAAATGTTTCCATTAATTAAAAAAATACTTCAATGAATGTTACTTACTATAAAACGTGCTGTTGTTTTAAAAAGATTTTTTGTTATATTACGGTTGTTAACTCATTAGAGATTTAAAAGTAAATTATTGAAATTATAAACCAAATTAATTATATAAAATTAAAAATAAAAAGCCACTAAATTCAATAATCATAATATCGAACCAAATGAAATGAATGCAAGAGAGGATTACTTGGCTCAAGTAGGGAAAAGTTCATATTGGATTTGGAATCCATTTTTAATTATTTTTTAACTAAAAAAATTATTTAATCAAAAACTTTATAACTCCTCTCAAGTTATCCAAGCATCTTAACTACCTATATATGCTTTAGGTAGTTTGATATCTTATTGATTATTATGCTTAAATGTGTGCGGAAATTATAATGATTTAGGTATACGAGCATTTATTTAAACACGTGTACCTTGTACTCAATAACGACAAGATATCTCCAACTACTTTCTTTTCTAAACTGATTCAGAGTGAGTAGATCCCATAAGGACTTTTAATATTGCATTCATGTTTGCATATGTATATACGTATGTTTGTAATTCAATACTCATAGCTGGAACAAGGACGATTAATGGAAAGGGAGCCATTCTCACAAATCCACTTCAATGGAGAAAGTTATTGTTTTTCACTCATCTAGGAATGGACAGTAATGATTCTTACGAGAGTACTCTTTTCAGCCTACAAACTTTAAGTCTTTCGCCTTGTATCACTCCTATTGAATACTTTGTTAGGTTATCTTCATTATATACATAGAGATCGCATTATGTAACTATATCATAATCACAAAAATATAAAATGGATCTTAGCTAAAATTTCTACAATCGCCTTTTTAATCGTTGGTTAAAAAGTACACTTAATAGAAAAAATATTTGTTTCAAATCTATTTGTGATCCTGATTCCACCAATTACTCATTAAGATTTATTGTTAATAAAATCTAAATTTTAAGATTTATGTTATGATAGCTCTTAAAGGAATTACACGACATGGATTAGAATGGGTAATGGTTGAATAATGGATTGGGTATGGGTGGAATATTCAAAGAACGACCGGTAGCATGTAGCGAACCTACTCGTTAACCACTACGTCCAAATGCCGTTCAGCACCGTTCAGGATTTTACAAGCAAGTATGACTTTGTATCGACATTTGTTGTATACATATATATATATATATATATATAGTGATCATATATATATATATAATCATTTACTACTCACTATTATTTTATGCGATTGTTCATGCGTTGAGCTCTGCAGTTGTTCCGGGAATCCTTCTGCTCTGTGTATGAATCACGTAAATATAAAAAGTGTACAACTTTTAACATCAATATCACAAGGAATAAGCTATATCGGCATAAAGCGTAGTGGAAAAAATTATTCAAAATCACTGACTCTATGATACAATTCATCATAAGGTGAATGTCAAAAATTATAGTTACAACATTGCATTCATACATATTGTATTCATTGCCATATGTACTTAAATCATTAATTTTCTAATAATTCAACTAATTATGTATTATGTATGTATTAGTCATTTCTGCGTATAGTCAGACACCATTATGTATAAAAAGAATATCGAAACGATATACCGCAACTCGTTATAATTTTAGTTAATTGTTTAATATACCAAGCTATTTTCATTCTTTTCATATCATAAATCACTTTATTTAAAATAATATTTAGAAATATTTCAAAGCCACTTAATTTGCTTAATCTTAGCAACAAAAAAATTTATTATACAAAATTATAAATCAAAACCTATTTTTAAATACTGCAAAAGCAAAATACTCTATTATAATTACATCGTCAAGTTTTAAACTTGTAAAATCTGAACAACTTTTAACAATTCAACGGTATTTCCGAACCTTCTAGTTTGAACACATATGGTTTTGTAGACTAAAATCCATTCATCATATTTTTCAAGAAAATACAATTTTTAAGGATCTTCTGGTACAACGTGTATAGACATCTTTTTCAGACCACGGAATATGGTAATGTCAAGAGCCTTCTGAGTTTCAGCTAAGATTTCATAAACATCAGAAGAGTTTTTAATTTCCTTGCCATTTATATGTGTAACAATATCGCCAGGACTCAAGCCACCACTAAAAATAAAAAGTACTATTAGGAATATGTAATTTTAGGAAAAATAATTAGAGCAATACGCACGTGTGAGCAGGTGAACCAATAATAACTTTCCACACCAAAACTCCATGTTGCACATTGTCTGGCACGCTTTGACTGCGGGATTTGAGCTCATACAAAATATCCGGCGTTAAGGTCAACATTGTTATACCCATATATCGCTTAGTTGGATATTGTAATTTAGTACTTTTGCCTTGTGTACGTCGCTCAGCGGAACGTTTTAAAAATATTTTCACATAGTCAATTGGTATTGCAAAACTGATACCAGCTGTTACTTTCATAGAATTAATGCCAATCGCTTCGCCGTCTAAATTAACTAGCGGACCACCTGAATTACCAAATGTAATTGCAGCATCTGTTTGTATATAGTTAATATCACGATTTTTTAGACCCAATTCTTGCGATGGTCGATGTATTGAACTGACTACACCAGCTGTTACGGTGTTACTTAATGCTAAAGGACTACCTAAAGCTACGACCCATTCTCCAGAGCGTAATGTAGAACTTTTACCCAATTTCATTACAGGCAAATCTTTGCATTGTATACGCACAGTAGCTAAATCAGATGTCTGATCAACATCTTCCACAACACCCGGAAATGTGCGACCATCGTTTAGACGCACTTGCACCATCGTATGTGGTTTATTTATAACTACATGTGCATTTGTTAATATTAAACCATTTGATTCGATAATGAATCCAGAGCCATTTGAAGCCGTTAGAGGTTGTCCCGTGTAGTAGTCAAAATGTCGTTTATCCTTGATTTCAATATATACAACCGAGGAGGCGCATACGTCGACAACATCCGCAATAAAATTATACTGTTTCCGACGTCCAGATAATGATGTAAACGATTTAGCTGATATAGTTGGCAGTATGTCATCTCTGTATATGTAAAGTGCATATGCACAGAATGTACTGAATATTACCGGCTTTATATATCGAAAAAAAATCCTCGTCCTGTGTTTCTGTTCTTCTTTGTGTTTATTATTGTTTTGGTTTCTGCTTTGTGCCACAACGTGACGTAGTAAATTAAGTCCACGTTGCTTACTGACATTTGTTAAATAATTTGTAAACCTACTAACTGACATTAAAGCAAAATACTAAATAAAATAAATAAAAATATATAAAATGTTATGCACTTTTGATTTTGGAAATACTATTTTAATCCTGTCAGCTGTTATTGTTTACATCACCTTTCATCGAATCTATTACAATTTTCGCGTTGACAACTATTTATTTTTGCATTATAATCAAATATTAATAAAAATTAAACTTCAAAAACTTCAAATAAAAATTTTATTTCTGTTATAAAAATTTCTAATATGCTGTCATATTTTTAAAACTGTTTTTATTAAATAACAGCATACGGTAATATTATTCGCATTATATCAATATTTTCACGTGAATAATGTGAATTTATACATAACTCATAGTGTTTGAGTAGTACATAAACCTTAAAAGAATTAATGCAAGAAACCTATCTATACTGTATTATTACATTGTATATTATTAAATATTTTTATGAAAATTGAATTAAAAACAAACATAATTAGATTTATAAAACATATCACAGTGAGAAGAATTTCATATATATCATTCTTATACATGTGCTAAATTGTTAAATACATAAAAATATAATAAATACGCCTGTTGTATGCCAATTAGAAATTAAAGTTTGACGTAATAAAACAAAAAAATTTTGTATGTGACTTATTCACATCAAAAACACACACTTGTTAAGGTTAGAAATCAAAGTGTAAATAAAATTAGATATAAAACATTTAGCAAAAGATAATGTGACAGTTAAATTGCGAACTTTATTAATAAATAATAAAATTTTATTGTACTCTACTCTTGAAAATATCCCTTTATTAATAATAAATTGTATATTTTAAATAATATAATGTTATGAACAATAGCCGTAATTTTTTTTTCAGAGTAGCAAAAAATATACTTGCAACTTACGAAAGAAAACATATGAAATAAAAATTCAAAAATCAGTCAATTATGAATGTTAACTGGTAATATATGTTGCAAATTCCAGTCATTAATTAAAATTTTATAAGCATTTCATTTGCTAATAAATTCAAATACATAAATAAATAAGTTAATTTAATTATATCAGATAAAAATGCTTACCATTGTCCTTCTAATATTATTTTTGATTTCTTTTATTTAAGTTAATTAATTTTTAGTGTAACGATATATATATATCATAGTATAAAAAACAAATTTTACTAAAAATAAACATTTATCATAAAAAACAACTGCTAATATAATATATACAGATGTGTATTACTAATTACATGTTTTAAGTAAAATGTAATGCCATTACCTATGTTCCAAATGTCATTAATTATTTACAATTAAGACTAGTTGGCAACACTTAATTTTGTATCGCATTTTCTTTTTGCTCTTTGTGCAATAAACCTCAGAGAAAAAATTTTTATTTAAGAAATGTCATTCATGTTGTGCGGAAGCATAAACGTTGTTTACTAATAAGAATTCAAGCGAAACTTATTTTTATAAATTGTATTTATTTTGTAATATATCTAAAAAAGAATAAATAAGGTGCTGGAAAGAAAAAATAATAAATTGCAAATGGAAGTGTTTCAAACAAATAATTATTACATTTTTGTGAAACGTGAAAAAAGTCTGTGGTGGAATCGTACAACATCGGAATTTACACTAAAAGCTGGTAAATTGTTTATGCATTCATAAAACAAAGAAATTTAATAATTTTGTTTAAATAAAGCTTTTATGCCTTATATCGTGTGAATCATATGAGTTTCGGTTAATTACTTAATTAAGCGCAGATAAAATTATTGCGAAACGTTCCTGTCTGTGTTTTGTTTTTTTTGTTTTTGCATCTAAAACTAAATTTTTATTGTTTTGAAATTTTTATAATTTGTGGGCGTTTTTGTTTATGTTTGTTTTTCTAATAAAGCGAATTGTTTACATGGAAAGTTAACCACTGCAATTGATAAAAAATCTTATTTATTTAATTAAATAAACATACGGAAAATATTAAAAATTCTTTTAAAAGATTTTATCTCTGCTAAATCTTTAGATCCCAACATTCTTTAGCACCCAAAAGTTTCGTAATATTCTTATATAATATTAATATGTGTCGTTTTTTTTATATATAATTTATATGCAAATAAAATTATTTTCTTTGAAAATCTTTTTATACTGTGTATATTGGATAAAATTCAAGGTTAATACATTTTGATAAGAAATTACTATGAGAATTAGGTTGACCTCAAACTTCATTGTACTAAGATTTTCAGACCTCGTTAGAGAAGGTAACCAAATAACCTTCATGTCATTTTCTAGTTTAACCTTTCATTGATATGATGCTGGCATATTTAAGGAAGTTGGCCTTAACAATTTCCTTAAATATCTTAATACTCTCTTAAATATGGTAAATAGAATTGACTGTTTTTTTAAAGTTTTTTTAAAGTAATGTTTATATCTGAAGTTTAGGGTTTATGGGGGCTTCACATACGATTTTTGTTAAATTTACAACTACGTTAAAACCTTTTCCATAAGTTATTAGTTAAAATTAATGTGCTATAAAGACTTCTTCTGAGGTCGTAAGCTTAGAACTTCTTGGAAATAAGGCTACAAGAAAGTAGAGCTTGTACCATGATTTTGGGCTGTTTGGAAACTGTTATGTTACAATGAAATAAGGCTTCTACTGTGGATTAAGCTCTTAGTAAAGCTTTTGCCATCTTCAGCAACCCACTGTATGTTATGAAGTGAGTTGTTCTTTACATGTCAGACGACTGTTGATTACCATTCTCTAAAGTTCATGTTTCACACACCGTTACTTACTTACTGTGGTCCTATTCTCCCAGTGGAGCACAGGGCTTCAACAATCCCTCTAAATCTCACTCTATTGTTTGCTTTTCTGCATATTGTGTTCTACGAATAACCCATCGCATTTAGTTCGTCTTCAACAGTTCTTCGTCAAGTTTTGGCGGGGTTTACACACCTTTAAGTTGTAAATAATTATAAAACAATATTTATATAATAAATATTAAATAAGAATAAATAATGTTCTTTAGAAGTTTCCCTTTTCTTTTGTGTGAGTTTGAGTAAACTAGAATTTCAGACTAATTTCTAATATATGTCTCGTATTCACCATCTTCATAAAGAGTTTAAAGTGTTATTTGTAAAAGAATAGTATCAAGTTTAATGTAAATAATTTTTTATTTTCTATTATACTGATGAGTATACAATAAAAGCTCTACTAGTTCAGGTAACGGTATAACTACGTGCTAAAAAGATTCTTTCATCTACATATTCTGTACATTATACATATATCAGGATTTGTAATGTTGTCGTTGTTGTAACCCGTTAGGATCTACTTGTGAAATCCTTTTGGAAAGTGTCGAACGGTACTTGGTCGTCGGCTGCAGAAGAATGGCGCCGGTACGTAGACCTGGCCGTTCTTTCTGAACCAGGATTGGTAATAAAACATTTTATCGTCTGCGTAATTATTCTAACACTTAAGTGTAATACAAAATAATGAGTTTTAATAAATTGTTCAATTATTTTATTTGTTTTAATGGACTGTTAAACCTATTTATATAAAATATACAATTACAACACAACTGTGCACAATTTATTTGTGGTTACGTTAGATACAAATTATTCCCATTGCTTCCGACAATGATTTCAAAATAATATCAAATTCTGGATTTATGTATTTTCTTGTAATTCTTACGAATTCATCTATATATAATGTCAAAAGTGTATGAACATAAGTCGTATAATCCACATAACAGTATTGATATTATTGTTGATTGACAATAACATCATATATATATTCTCAAATCCTATTTAATATAAAAGCGTCAGTTAAGCTCAGAGTTATGTACTACTTATTTGATTTGATAGGTTGATGCGTAGTATATTCAAACTAGTTATTCTTTCTACCCAAGCGGAAGGACCGCTATCCCAAAGCTCACAATTTACACTTAACATGGTAGTTCGACAATATTTTCTACGTGCTGGTTAACCTCTAATGAACGGAAGGATATGATATCAATAATAAGGTTAAGGTTCTAATTTATTAAACCCCTAACTGAATCTTAGGCAGTAATTTTGAAGTGCCTAGTGTTTGTAGTTCTCAAAATCCAATTGCATAAATTTTATTTACTTAGTCAATATTCATTAATTAAGAGCCCTAGATTTAAATTCAATTTTTCAAAGATGATGTAGTTCAACTAAATAAAAAACATTTAGTTATTTTTCATTCTACACTGTATTGATGAAGTGTTTCTTCAATTTCCTTATTTAATTCCTTAAATAATTTTCAACTGTGTGTCTTTCCACTTCAATCAATTTCATTTATTGAACTTCCTTAATGTCGAATGATAATTGGTAATTCTTTCCAAAAATAGTTTTTTTTTTATTATGATTTAACCAAAAATAGAAATCCATTAAACATTTACCATCACGTACCAACTGTTAATAGCTATAAATAATTTTACATTTTTAATCCTGGCTATTATCTGAGCATTAGCTACTTGCTCTCTATTCCCAAATATCATAAATTGTTGCTTAATACGTATGAAATAGTAAAATTTTATTTCTACTGCGAAATAAAATTATCGACTGAATAATTTATTTTATTTGGTATAAAAAGTTGGTGGCGGTAAATTATTGTTTACTCAATCGAAAATTATTAAGAAATGAAATTACTTCATGAGTTTCAATTTGACACGCAAACGTCACCTGCAATTACTATTTTTACGTTGAGGACTGCATTTACTTTAATAACTATTTTTATTGACCAATAAAAAAAGATAATATAATCGTTTACTTTTGATAACTTCTCTTTTGGGACTTGTCAATGTCGATAATTATGACCATTCAACAAATCTTAACAGTAAATTTTTATATTTTACGTCACTAGAATAATTGTTTCGTAGTTGTCAGTAGATGTAACATATTAACATAAAATAATTAGTATGAGTTATGTTATCTTTGATATAAACTACTCATTTTTATTATCGTAAGTATAAGTTGATCAGGAAAGCTTATTTAACCCATTAAAATAAACTCATGAATGAATGCAGATTTCCACCGCAATGCAGAAACTTCATTCCTTCATGCAGAATGCAAATCTCTTCATGGAAGAAATTTGATCAAGAAGTTTACCACCTAGAGGTCTTGGTATCTAAGTCAGAATAGCTTCTTTAATACTAATTACATATATAATACGGAAAATATATTAAGTTTGGTGAAAAGTTTTCACTTGTAGTGATGGAGACCCCATAACTTATATTTATTTTTGACCAGCTTGACTGCTGAACAGACAAAGTAACATATTGTCTATATATATTTGTGTTTATAACAAGATAATGTAAGAGTGGAGTGTTTCAGAAAAGTAGAATTGTGCTATCTCAACACATTTTTCTTGTCACAAAAGACCCTAACCTATCAGAAAGTATTCCGCTTGTTTAAGAAATACCAAAAATATGTTATTGAGTGATACCTACACTCTAAGAGAGTCACATATTCCCAATTCAGTATCATCCTCCTGGCCCAAAGTAAAGCTTGAAACTCACATAGATGGTAACTACATGTGTTAATCCCTTAAAACTTTTGATCCTATGCTGTTAGATAATTAATTTTCTTGAGATGATAGCTCAAGTCAATATGTTTTATAAGGTAAGTCACTAACTTCTCTGTTCTAATAAAATAAGGTTTCTTGTCAAAGCAACGTGTGAGCTCTTTAGCCTGCAGGTTAACTGAAATGAAACTGAACTATATATAATTAATTTGGTTTCATATCAGTATTTATAACTGCATCTATACTTCAAAATTATTCTGTGAGGTTCAAAGCAATATGCGGCTGCGCAGAACATAGGTGAATTTTTGTTACTGTTCCAACCTACCTAGGTATATAATATGTCCTGAAATTGTTTAAACTGACAAGACTTTACAAATTGCGGTTATATTGGAGTGATATAGAATAGTTACATTTAAAGTATATGGTACGAATAGGCGATTTTATGTGTATATAAATAATTGATTAATTGTGGCTGTAACCGGACCCAAGTTAGAACAGGATGGATTTTGCTGTTCATTATATTGACTATTTGACTGTAGCTTTTAAAGATTGACTTATTCCCATACTAGATTTCTGCTTTTAATTTTTTTATTCTTATTATGAATGTTGTTGCTGTTGTAACTCTACCAGAAGACCTGTTTTTCTCAATTAGGAATTGTTGAATAAATTGAGTGGCACTTGAACTTCTAAGCAAAAGAGTTTCTTTGGGACGGGATTGTAGAATACACAATAATTGATGATATATATTAAATTGGTGGGTATATCTTTCTTGAATTTATGTTTGCACAAGTCTGAGATTAAGTTTGTATCATCAATAATTGTTATAATCTGCTATTTGATACATTAATAAATTCAGAAAAAAAAAAGAGGAAAATCGTTATCACTATAGTGTTAGTGTACTTCATATGAATACAATTTAAATCATCATGAACACATTTTAAATATATAAAATTGATTTAATACAATATATAATAAAAAAGGAGAATAAAGAATAACAAAATTTGAGCAACCTTATACTAACTTAAAGGAAAGAAGGCTGTCTCCATGGGTTTTCCAAATTAAAAAAATTGGCAAATATTCAAATTTAATGTAAAATTTATTCGAACTTTCAA